CCGTACCTCCTTACAAAAGAACAATTTGATTAATCCCCCAGGGGAAAGTGAAAAACATATTTTGCAATTGGAAAGGGACACTAGCAAGCCAGAAAATGATACCACTCCCTGAATGTTCTGTACATGCCAAACTTAAAAGTAAATGCATGACAGAGTTTAAGTATCCAAGTATGCTGACAAGTAACATATGAGGACATTTCATCACAGCTGTGTCCCTGTGTATTCAAATACTGAGACACTTACTAGGTAAAAGATTCTGTGAAATACAAAGAAATTGGCAGTAAGATGAAAAATCTTGAAGACTTTTAGAATACTCTTTTATTTTTACACTGAGGTATCAGATGCATTTATACACTTACAAGATGTATAAATACACTTATGAAATAAATTGGAAAATATCTCTTCAGAGGTTATGGTGATGACAGAAAAGAATGCCAGTGCTAAAGAAGCTTCTGTGCAGACAAACAAAGAATCAAAATCTTTATTTTTTGAAAAATCAGCACTATAAAAGAATACTATTGCTTTCAGTATTATTAAAGAGCTAATCCATGTCAAAAATCTAGTTTTATGCTATATTTGAACAAGGCTTGTCAGTCGATATAAGGTATTGATAACCTTCATATGAATTTTCAGTGAAAGAAAAAGGTTTAGTAATTCAAATCACCTTCCTTTGTTTAGAGAACACATGCATTTTCTCTGTCCTTAGAAGTTTGTATTCTGCAGTACTCCTGAAATACTTTTTCTTGTCAATATTACCAACACTGATATAGTATCTGTACTCACACCTTTCTCACAGAGATCATGTCAAAAACAAGCATTTAACTAGGATATTAAAGATTTCTTTACTGATTAAGACTATTTCCACTTTGCATACACTCTGGGTTTTTTAATACTGATCTGAAGAGAATCAGAAATCTTTATTTTATGATCTTCTACCAGAGCAAACATCTGTACAGCATTTAATAAAAAGCTTTAGACACTAAGTAAAACCCTGGAAACCAGAATATTTGAACTATTTTTAGGGTGCATTAACTTACTTTGGAGGATGTTGAGTCACATTCCTGACAAATCCATCCATAGCCAGTCTGTTTAGGAGACTTTTTCAAGGGAGGGTCTAGACAGCCAAAATGGTAGCAAAGCCTGCATTCATCACACCTGCAAGAGAAAAACAAAATACATATTTTTATTAAATGGTACTTCTCTACTATTTTAGACTGAGCTTCCCTGCAAGTCTCAGCAGAAGATTTCCTGATCCATTATCATAATAAAGAAAATATATTTTCTATCAGGGGTAATTTTAAACAGCCACTTCAAGTAGGTTCTGCTTAATCTGGAATACCCTGATGCAGATACTCATCTATCACCTTTGTCATCATGTTATATAAATGACAACATTTCAAAGACTTGCAAATTAATGAAAAAAATTGCTTAAATTTTTGGATACTTTCAGTGTCATTCACTGCCCGTTTTTTTCAGAAATTTTAACTTTTTTATAATGTGACAGTATTTATTTTTTATAGTTTTAAGACACTGTTTTGCATGTGTAGTTTTTTAAGAAATGCTTTGTGAAAAATTCACCCACATGCTAAATAACTCAAATATAATTTACAGCTATGAATTACATTTTTAACACCAGGACGATGTGGTTGATAAACAAATGCACAAAAGTATTTTCTCATTCACACTGAATTTTATAGAAAGGGCATTAATTTACAAGGATTTCACTGAGATCTTTCACTTATAAAAGCGCTTTGTGTACACACAACATATTTATGTTCTTTAATAAACCTTTCATTAGTGTTTTTCATTATGCGTGGCTACACAAAAAGCTCAAAACATACAGCATAGCTATTGTTAACCTACTTTTAACCTACCACTAATAGAAAAAATGCTACAGTAGAACAAGTGTTTCATGAAGGGATTTTTAAATCATAATAATAATAGGCTCAAAATGAGAGATTTTTTCAAAGCAAATTATAGATGCTTTCATATACCCTACTGAACTTCTCTTTATTTGCATATCCCCCTGTATTCCTTTGTATGAAAAGGAAAGCTTTTTTCAAATTTACTTTGCAACAGTCTCTTCATTAAACAGTCCTAAACTCTGAATTAAAGCCAATATAAATAAATGAAAAACGGCAAAGAGTATATGTTTAAAAATCAAAATGTTTAAAGAAACACCACCACCCACCCCCCCCCGCCTTTCTCCTCTTTCCTGGCCACTCAATTTTTCCTCTACAGTATGTGCAAACACAAAAAGGTTCAAAAATTGCAGTAATAGCATGGCACAGGCACCATCAGATCAAAGACAGAGGGATATCATTTATCGACAGAACAGACAGTGCATCGCAGAAAGAGGATTCAACCAACAGCACATACTGCTGCATTAATAGAACAAAATGTTCATGTGACTTCTCCAAGGATTAGTCTCCCAATAAAAACAAATAACTGTTTTCAATTATCACTGCTTAACTTCAATGAATACTTTTTATTCCCTAAATTTTTATTTAATCCTCACTGCCAAGGCTGCACTTGATAGCAGTCACAGGTAACACACAAGCACTGGCTGTTTCCTGCTAAATAGAAATTTAAAACAATAATCTGACTAGCCACAAGATTCAGCTCTGGACTGACATAGTTTTGGTACTTTTTTGAAAATAAGATATACTATATTGCAATATATATCCTTAGGATTGCTTAGCAGAGACTCAATCTAACTCCAGCAAAAAGCAAACACTAAAAATAGAAAACCACCCTCAGTTTTTGAAGACAGGAGAGTTTTAATGCTGAAATATATTACTTAAAATCAGGAATACATGTAGTTTTATTTCTTGTGAAAGCTGTATTAAAATAATAAAAAGGTTGAGAATGGGAGATGGGATAGGTCACACTCTTAAATCCCAACAGTGTATGTGACCTTCAGCAAAGAATGAAGCCTCCTCTGAGCCTCAATGTTCTCATCTGTAAAGGAGTATATTTTTACTAACCTATTTCAGCATCTGGAATCTTATGGATATAAGGGCTTGTACTTGAGCAGTGCTTATCAGAACTCCCTTCATGTAAACTTAAGGATCCTTTTAAGTAACTGAAAATAAACATACTATTCTGACTGACTTAGAGTATTTTCAGAGTTTAATCCTAAAATCTATATATTATTTAAAAGCATCTGTTTAGATTTTCTTTTTTATTATTATTATTACATAATTGCTTTATATGTTTCTATATTCAAAAGAAAATGTTTCCTCTATAAAATTACACTTTGCCATCTCTTATATTTTTACCATTTTTCATCTAGAATGTGGTATGTCCTGAGTGCACTTTCAGCCATGTTTCCTCAGAGTACACTGAGGGAGTTTGTAAAGCAGGGTTGAAATAACCACGACATTGTGAAATTAAATATGGATCTCGAGGCACCATTCTAAAGCGCAATGTTTTTAATATTTATTGTCATCAATTTTTATCACTTCAGAGTGTTTAGTTTGGCAGAAGAAAATTTGCATTTTCCTAGAATATCCATATGAAAGATTTCAGATACTAATAACTTCTATCCTCATCTGCACAGCTGAGGAAATGCAAGTGTATTTTCCGATATCAAAATACAAAAAGCTGCATGGTGATAAAAGAGTAAGTATGCCAAATATTTTTAAATGTTTGCTTCCTACTGCTTTCTACTGGAATATGAATTCTATACTGGAAAACACAAATTCACTGATTCGGAAGTTCCCAGAGCATGATGCTAGGAAAATGGATGAATACCACTGTACTTTGGTTAAAGATGATGCTCTAGCTGTCTGGCAATCATTGCTGAAACTGACTGGGGACAAAATGTGATGCTTACCCACATCACAGTGAAAAAAAACGGCATTCTTAATTCCTAATTCCAAAAGCAAACATTGCACCTAAGTTAAAATGGCACTAATAAAACAAGATTAATCCCTCAAGTGTATACCATTAGCTGTGTTCTTTTGTCTAGCAACATAAAAATGACAGAAATCCCGCTGTCACATTCAGAAAATGAGGAAGCGAAGCAAAATACAGCATATTTTTGACTTAGAGAATGAAATTGCTGGGTCACAAAAGATGTCATGCTGCCAGTCTCACCGCCTGTCAGTAAATGCACTCACAGACCCATCACATTCCAGGCACTTACAGAGCAAAGGAGTCATGTGGCACCATAATTTACAAGTATCATCTGCTCCCATCCTGAAGATGGCTTAATAGCACAAACAAAACTGTTGGGATGGGGAGGGGGCCAAGGGAAAGAAGCCACTTCCTCCATATTAGAGGCTGTTGAAATTTTTACGCTTGTGCATTCAAGGTCAGATGTTCAAACTTAAACTAGCAAGTATCTTATCTTCCTGCTATTTGTGGATAACTGTGGATATTTTTGTGGTGAAGCAAAATGATTTACAAAAGCCATTAAGTGGTGGGCCATCTTCAGCACCCTCATTAACTGCTGTACGGAAAACTTTGTGGAAATAAAAGCAGAGCTCACACAGACAAGCTAACCTAACCTCCTAAATTACCTCTTGCTGACAGGTGATTGCTTACTGTCACTGTTATAACAAGTCTGAAATTACTTTATGCATCAAAATTAAAAATCACTGTGTTCCTCATTCTGGCAATTAATGAGGATAGATACATGCCCATTAAATATGGAGAAAATGGAGTGTGAAGAAGAAAGGTGAATTCTGAAGTAGTTATGATAAAAAAGTTAAAAAACCCCCAAACATTTTTTACTTATAGAAGTATAAAATGGCCAGCTACATCTTCACCACAAGAAAGCTTGATTGGGCATTTCCATACCTGAAATACTTTTACTTTGTTCTTTAATAGAGTGATCTCCATCTGCTCTTGTCCTTGGATTGTTTTTATTAGTTTTTTTAGCAGTACAGCTGGCTGTGCTCAAGCCCTATCGTGTTCATAATTAACTAATTATGCTCTAATCAATAGTGCAGATACTGATTTTACAATGTAAATGAGATAAATGAGATAATGGCTGGGGTCAATCTCATTTTATTTACAAAGCTCAGCACACACATCCAATTTCATTACATTGCATCTACCTGCACAGGAGGGAATCTTATCAGTTGGCCTGCAGAAGTCTTCCTGCAAGCACTGGGGAAAAAGACCTGTGCTTTTACAGAGGAGTGAATGCAAAACCCGCCCATCACTGGCACATTTGTAAGTCACTGGTTAATATCATTGAAAACCACAAAGAGCTGATTCAGCCAGAGCGAAGAAACCTATTTTGCATTCACAAGACAGCATCACCCATCTATAGCTGTAAAAGTAATTACCTACATGTCCCTGAAACACAACATTAATAAGCTAATCTTTAAATACAACTTTCCAAATATGCTTCAGAGACTACAGAAAAATCTCACTTATGTACGCATCATTGCACACCGCCTGCAGTGTCGTGCCAAAAGGTACCATGGTGAACAAAATACAAAATTGCAAGATAAATATACTGCTCCTGATTTGTCACAACAGCATGGAAACATTTACTTTAATGGAAAAAAAAAAAAGATATAAAACACTGATACAAATCTCACCATTAAAAGTAGAGAATTTGTCATATAAACCTTACTCTGACAAACTCAGAATTAGTCAGAAAAAAATTAGAAGGAAGCTAATCCAGAATTTTAAACTCAAAGGGAACTGCAGAGGGATGCGTGTACACACACCCACTTGCTGAAGGCATATAACACAATGGCTACTCCAGCACCTGCATAGATTTAACTACTGATAAACCTCATCCTTTCCTGGCTTGTTTTGGACCCCATTTCTGACTAAAGGCTCTTAGCACCTTAGGAAGAGACATCTGAGGAACAGAGGTTTCTTCTCAGACACTGATCTCTCTCCCTTTTAATCCCTCAGTGTCCAAGTGCTGAGCCACTCTGGAACTGCAAACAGACAAGAGACATGACTTGGGGTTCATTTTAAATTGCAGCACATTCTTGATTTCAGATGAGCAACTTAAAACCAGCCATGACCATTTAAGTTACTGTGAACACTTGGTTTCTTATTAGCAGCTGTGTGATATACAAGAGAAAGGAGAACATAAGCATTCCCAAAAAAAACAGAGTAAATCAATGTAGCTCAAGTGAATTCAAACTCTAGAAACAAAATTAATTACTTCAGCCTGGAGCAGCTGAGGAGTGCTCCTGTGACACTCTACTGCAACCAGACCACAGGAGTGATAAATTCTGCATGACAGGAATGAACAGTGTATTGGGTTGCAGCAGCAACTTTGCATGTCACATCTAAGAAGGCACTTTCCTGTGCCCTTACTTAAACAGTAAAATTCAAGATCTAATGGTGAAATAAATGTATAGTTCTCTATTTAGTGCACTGTTATTAATGCTGTCCAAAAAGTACATTTATTCTGGTTACTGAGTGAGGAGCCCAGAACTGTAGCATGTTTTCTTTACAGAATATGTGGATAACACTCATCTTTTTCTTCTGACATTTCTTGGAACGAAGTGAAAATAAGCAAAGGTATGACTTTGTATCTTACCCTACCGTTCTACACCAAAACTCTACAATTCTGCCCAATTAATTCCAAAACAAATTACTTTCATTTTGCTGTGGTATGTCACCGTCAAACACAAACCAGAAGTGATGCAGTACTGTATTTTCCGAAATATAAGATCTATATTCTTATCAATTCCTTTGTCCTTAGACAAAAAATTGACAAAATAATAAAACCCTATTAGGTATAAAATGGAAGAAGTTGGTTCTCATCTTCCTGATTGCTATATTTTTTCCCTTGCCTATAAATGACCTAACAACTAAATATTGGTGGTCATCTAGTCTACAGAACAGCTTTAAGAAGTCTTCTCACATGGACCAGTCAAGCTTCAGGTGACTTTACCACCAGGAGTGTGACACATCTCTGCACAAAAGTTCTTATGTGACTGCATATGCATAAATTGTTGATTAGAAAACCAGGATACAGCCCAAGTATACCTCTTCATACACTGAAAGGCTCGCTATCTTCACAGATGCTAAAAGTTCACCCTATAAGGAACTTCACCCAATTTCAAAGTTAGCTCTAACTTTGCAGTCATTCCTGCACTGAGTGGGTGGCTGTAACAGATGTCCTTCTGAGACTTCTGCAACCTACATTTTTCTGGATTCTAATATTTTCACAATTTTCCTAATTTTGATTTAGGTAAATGAAGTAATCTTTTCTGGGAAGGATAATGCCATGGTGTTACACTAAGTAATAAAGTAATTTTGTAATTTCTATTACACCAGGTACAATGCAAGTATACAGAGATCTCTTATTTATATAGTTTATAATGGGAGATGACAGAGAGTAGACTATCACTGTCTTCTGTTATGCCTGGAAGAGAGAGGCCATGGCTGTTGCTGAAAGGTGAGAGATTATACCAGATAAGGGATGATTACTGCATTTTAGTTTTTATATCTACCTATTGCTGATGAAGACCATATATGGCAAGATGGACACAGCCTGACAGAGCACAATGAGCTTACTCATCTTCAGCTAGGAGTAGTTTCATGATAAGGTGCCTAAGTGCTTTTGATTATGGGAAGTTGTCGATCTCCTGTTTACTTAAATTTCTGTCCAATCTCAAGGGTATTAATTCAAATAAAGAGCACATATCAATTATACCACAAAATGGCAAAAGAAAACAAGCATTAATCTGGCACACATCTGTGTAGCTATATTTATTATGTTAAACCCAAAACTACCACCTAACTAATTTAACTGATTAAAATCATTATTTTAATAGCAAATCAAACACCCCCTTAAAGCAAAAAACCTAACACTGATTCTTCATGGGTAAGGAAGAATCTGAAAGGGCTATCATTGTATATCATTCTTATGTAAGATTTTTTCTGAACGGTCTACAAATAATTTGGTTTATTAAACTTAAGTTTGCATGTACAAAATGGATTCTAAGAATGCTGAAAAGAAACTTTATTTACTATACCTGTATATGAACAGCTTTCTTTCAGCAAGAAATTAACTTTTCTCTCTCTCAGTACTGCAAAACTACTGAACACATGGCTTCGTGACATTAGGTTGCAAAATTCATTAATGGCCCACACATACAAGTGGAATATAATGATATGAACACTACTTCAGATGTGTCTGCTTTTGTTAATATACAGCTACTGTATAGGACTTGTATTTCCAGTGTCTTACTGCTTAAACTAAGATTTTCTATGAAGACAATGACTCAAAGACAATAAATAGACAATGCATTAAAATAATCCTACACCAATTACAGACACTGAAAAAGTCCTTTGGCAAACCGAAATGTGTAAAATTTAAGAAGCTATTACCAAATGCTGCATTTTTTATATTCTACTAATACACTATTGCATCTTAGTGCCACTCTCAGGTCTTCAGACTATTAACTCTACTGAATGGTGTACTGTTTATGAACTACTAGGAAACTCCATTATAGTTTTGAATATTGCCATCAAACATCTTTCAAAAGGTGAAACATCAAGTGTTAGCATCTGGCTTTCAACCTAATGATATATATATCTAGAGAGAGAGAGAGAGAAAGGGAGAGAGGGAGACAGAACAAAATTCTACACGGAAGTTTTACTGGAGAAAAATATAAAAAATAAAGCAGGAATTCAACTTGGGTTTTCAAGCATGCCCAGGAAAATATTAACAACACTTGAAACAGTATTTAATACACACTAGTCTGTCCTTAAAATCCTCCAATAGCAGAGATTACAGACATTCCCTAACAAACATCTCTAGTACAAGTATTCTTATTATTAGAAAAAACTCTTTCTATTGGCTAAATCATTTTGATACAATTAAACTTATTTTTGTTCTGATCAACTTTGAAGAACTTTTTTTCCCCCTTCTTTGTAGCAACTTAATTCTTTGTAATTTTTATATTAATTTAGGCTTTTTAAATAGATTTCCCACCTTCACTAAATTAAAGAAATATTACTATTTTAAGCTATTTTTATTCATGTCTCCTGTGGTCTTCTTATCATCCAGTTCAGTTCGCTTTGGACCTTCTCTGTTTACCAAAATGGACAGGATATGCTGGCTGAGACTTTTCAAATGGTGAGATATTGGTCTTCTGAATATTCAGGAGTACTTCAATGCATTAAATCCAACACCTCTCTCTGTCTATATCAGGTTTGATCAGTTTGATCAATGTTCTGTGATCTGTGATTCAGAGTCCGCCACAATTTTTTTTTCTGAAGTCAATCTTGATATAATAATCAACCAATCAACAGTGACTTGCTGTTTCCTTTCTGCACTGAGTGCTTTTCAGAATACTTTCCTAAATTTTTTTTTTTAGATTCTAACACCGTACTTCCTCACATCTTACTGTCATCACCTGCAAATGTAACCAAACACTTTATTTCAGTACCTAATATCCTAAAGCAAAAATTAACAGAAATATTGTAATACTGAATCCAGGAGAGCTTGACTGGAACCCAGTGAGCTGAGTATCATTTGACAGTGAGTCCATGGTAGCTGTTTTACTTTCCTGATCAGCTACATATTTTATTGCAGCTTAATCAACAGAACCTCTAACTCATTTAAAGGAATATCACACACAGAAGTATTTTGAATATCCTACTAAAGCCAAGATAACCCACATTTATCATTCTCTCCTATCCACAATACCTAGATTGCTTTTGTTTAATAAATTATCGTAAATCACAGAAAACATTACTTTTTCTTTTTTTTTTCATAAACTCAGCATGATGTATGGGCAAACATTTTTCCCCTCCTTGCTTACACAACATGTGGACACAACCTTTTACTTTCAGAATACTGCACAAGTGGTCATTAAACTTGGGGCTTTTCTTTCTAGAAAGGATTCACGGATCCTTAAGGATCAAATTCCTGCATTAGCATCTACTTCCTGGTGCAAATCTCTTTATTTTTATGCATCTCTGTGTGTATTTGCCAAGACAGAATAAGAAGCATTTCTGATAGTTCCAACAAAAATCTTAACTCTGAGATTCTCCCACCCCCTTTTTAAAATGAAACGACGTGTTAGACATCAGGTTAATTTTATTCAATATAATATTCAAACATGAAATGCCCTGGTAAGATATGACTTGTAGATAAGTACACATAAATTTGGATATTCTCCTATTACTTATTACAGCATTTAATTTCTTTTTTAAGTTTAAAAAATACTTTCAAATGGAAACGTGCCTTTATAGATGACAAAACCCACCATATCTTAAGAAATTCAAGGATTATAGGTCATAAAGTTACAAGTGTGATTGCATATGAGCAGAATTTTTCCGAGCAAGTTCAAGATGAAAACGATGAAGATGTCAACACTCTGATACTGTAGATTTAAGAACTGGATCTGTACCATTTGAAGATCAAAATACTATGTGTGCATCTACCAGGATATATACGGACGGAGACGAAGATCTCAGCTGTCACGCTGTGTGATCAATTCTTCATTCCTTCCCCAACTTACAAAACAATTTCATGTTTGTATTGGAAGGAGATAAGCTTGTCCTGAACACTGCCAGAGAAGTAAGCCAAATGAAACAAATGCCTGCACATACTCAATTTTTTCTTATTAAAAAAAAAAAAAAATCAGAAAGAAGGATAGGTATAATTCTGTTCACTTGAGTGTCTGGAGTCAGAAACAATTAATTCATACTAATAAGCATAAAATCAATTTTTCCATGGCAAATCTATTCCTTCAGAATAGTAAGTCTCAAGTGTTTTACAGGTCTTATTATCACTGAACATTTATTGGTTTTTTTAGGAAACAATCCTTTTTACAGTAAGGTCTATGTACAACATAGTGTTCTATATAGAAATGTTCTTATTAAACTGTAATAAGTAGAGTGGCAGGCAGATGGCAAACCGTTGCTTATTTCTTTCAGTATCACCATAGAGGAACACACAATATTTAAGTCCCACAGGCTTCTGTCACTCTTCAATGAATCCAAGCATTGTATAACATCATTTGCCAACGAAGCACAGGGGAGAGAGACATTACTTAATAGGACAATCCTGACAAGACATTTATCCGGGATTTTTCAACGATGCATATACAAAATGTTCCTGAATAGTGCAAAAAAATGCAGGCAAATTAACTACCTTGTCAGTCCAAATAACAAACCAATCAATTACATTCTATCCAAGCCTGACAAGCAAACTCAATGTTTTGTCATAATAAGCTTATAGTTGAGACAAGGTAGCTGTTCTCCTTTACTTTAGGTATTCTATTGAGAGCTTTATCCACATTTAAAAATCCTATTATAAAAGGTTTCCACGATTGCCTCCGAGGATGAGTTGTGGCAGAGTTGTGTCTCATGAAGGGTATCTACACAGTAAAGTGATAAGAAAAAAATATTAACATTGAAAGATCATAGCAGCTCTCCTCTGTCTTATGAAACATTTTAACATCACACTAAATTTAATTAATGTGTATACTCAGATCCAAATACTTAGACACCCACACCAAATTTTCAAGAGTCTCTAAGTGTCAAAACATTAAACTGAGTTAAGTATAGCATCCTTATAACTTTTTCTCAATACAGCTCAAAGAACAAAGGCAAACCACCACAAGACAGAGAAGATAATTTTCTTTTTTGCAAATCATGAAAGCAAAAATTTAATACAAGTAGTCTTGATTGTGAAGCTAGCATTTTACTTAGATTTGCAACCCACAGAAATGCAGCTACAAGCACAAACATGGGTACTACGTTATAATGTTAAAAAATGTTTTATAGAATAGCATTTGAAAGAAAACAAATCCTAGCCTTTAGGAAGGACTAAGTAAGGGAGGGTTTCTTTCAAAATGCATTGTAATAGTTCAGTACATAAAAGGCTTTGGTCACTTCTGAAAAAATGTCTTTGAGTCAGTAATTCCAAAGTCTTCACATCTTTTTATTTTCCTACCCGTACTTCCTGTCTTTTGACACTCATGACACACATACTTTGCAAGAACACTTTTTAAGAAATCAATACAATTTGAAAGTGATGATTCTAAAAATTTAAATTCTTTAAAGTACTTGCCATACAGCAAATTAATGTATCTTAGAGCACTGTGAGATTTTAATCAGGAAAACATCTATGCTTTCTTTAAGCTGAGCAGATACATTTTGAACAAAAGACTGACAAAAAGTCTCCATAACCACATTTGGTGGTTGTTGATTTTTTTTTTTTTTTTCATTTGAAATGTATTTAAGTAGAATTGTAAATAAAAAGGAAACTGCTGTCATTCTTTGATAAAATATAACAGTCTGATGAACAGGAGCTATCTTGTTGCCACATGTACAAACAAAAATTCTTGGCAACTGAATTTTAGTTTTGAGTATAAGGATTTTGAGTCTCAGAATTAGAGGGACAGCAAGAAGTACCATATGAATATCCACTCCCAATTCTCACTTTATCTCTTACTTCAGACATGACTAAAATTTTAAATTGGGTGTCTTGAACTGCAATCTACAGTGCAATTTTGAATTTTTTAAGAAAACTGGAGAAAAGCTTAGCTGTAAGATAGAAATATTATTCATAGTCATCTCATTACAATCCCCTTCCCTTACTGAGTGCAACTAGTTTTGTTCTGACAACCTGTGCACATGGATGCACACTGAAATACAGAAACTTAAAGGGTAGCATCAGAAAAAATCAAGATAAACTGAAAGTCTCCGTGCCACCTCTACCCTCTCAGAACAATGTCAGTAGCTACAACTGTATCATTTCAGTCAGGTCATCAGAATGTGACAGACTGTCCCATCTGGGCTAGCAAGGTTTGGGCAGGAATACAGCAATCCATACTTTAAATACAAGGGGTTTTATTTTGGTTTCTCAAAATAAGTGAATGAGTATGTTAATATGTGTACACACACACACACCTATTTATATCTACATATAACTGCCCTTATATATAAATTTCTATTTATAAATTATTTTTATATAAAAAATTATCCACGTAAACATGTTTATATATATAAAACCAGCTTCACAGCTGAACTAATAAAATAATCAATTAAATTTTAATACGCTCATAAATCAAAGTAATTAAGTAGAAACAAGGTTCTCAGAGGAAACCTGTAACGACTGAGAAAAGATCCTATTATTTGGTAGCACTTCAGGTAAAGCTGCAAGAACACAGACATCAAGCAGGAAGTGTAAGTAACCTACACCTGCACTAGTTATTCTGATAATATTTCTCTGTATTACATCTTTATTGGTAACGACATATCAAGAAATTTTAAAGGATATTAGAATATTTACTCATATATTAAGGGAAAATTATTTTTTAAATGGTTGGATAATTTTTCCATTTCTACTCTATTAAAAATTTAACTTGACATCATTTATTTTACACGTTCTAGGGTTATCTTCACCCCACTCATGTTTGAAGTATTATTAATTAAGGAATCACTACTGGCGTTACTTAAACAAGTGAAAGATTTTTTTTTTTGTTGTTCTAGGAAGTGAAATATTGGTAAAAGACAAAGGAATATGACTGTATAAATACAATAGCTTGCAATTGTTGTAGTTAATTGTATTATTGTAATTCTACAGCAAACTCGTCTGATAACTGACTACTGCCCTGAGACCACCTGCACTGATGACATTTCTCCTGCTCTAGTCTCACCTTCTGCTCTGCTTCCACCCCTACACACCATCTGCCAGTCCTTCCTCAACCAAAGAACTGCTCCCATTCCTGTACCTCCATTCAAATTTCTGACTGAAGTACCCTGAGTTTTCTGCAATAGCTGAACTTGTATTTACAGCCTCACTTAGGAAAAGGATTTAGTTAGCACAAAAATCTGAAATAAGGATAGTGAACAAAACTGAACAGCCTTTCCCCTCTTACCAGTAGATACAATAAATATTAAGAAAGAAAAAAGCATCACAGATAATGCCACAATAGATGCTTTGAACAGGAAGCATTTGGTCCTTTAGAAGAGTTGTTCTCTCCCAGCCCTCCCTCAATCCAGGATAAAAAAGTAATTATAAAAGCACTTTCCTTCATATTTTGGTACAAAGAGGAAGAAACACACCAACTTCTCTGCTCCCTCACCGCACAGGGTTATCATCTCTTTCCTCAGTTAATTAAACATTATGTAGAGGGCAGGTGTCTAAGATCTGTGTGCAGACTTCCTTTTAAAAAGACTATAGGACAAGAAACCCCACAAGTTATTTCAATACTTTTTACTCTTCATTTGTGTAACAGAAACAGAAAATTGTAAATCACAGACAAACTTAATGCTTATGTCAGCAGTTTTGACCCAGGTTCTTTTTTAGCCATTTTAATACTTGCCTTCATCAGGTTAAATAGCTGTTGTAAGCGCAATGTTTCTGGCTGCTAAGTGAGCACAAGTAAAAATACATTTTCAACCACAGTGTAAAATCAGTTTATATTCAAGGGTCTGAAGGCAAGAAGCTGCTTCAGTGTACCTTAGCAATTCTGAAAAATTAGGACTCTCCCACCAGGTTAAGCCTGCTAAGACTAAAGAGGAATGTGGGGTATTTGCAAATAACTTTCATGAGGCAAAGATGGTAAGTGATATGCATTTTTAAAATTCAGTCTACTTCATCTCAGAAATTAATCTGTGCCAAGCAGCTCTTCAGAGGGGAAAAAAAAACCCAAACCAGACCCCAAAAGCAATGACGAGCAGTGATTTTAGACATCGCTAATTACTTCAATTTTCTCAGTATTGATCAAGTTATAAATATTATTAAATGCTTCCTGAACAGTTACAGATTTATATCTGCTCATATACACACTGATTAGCCTGTTAAAGAGTTATCTGCAGGACAAAAGATCACAGCATCTGATGTACCAATGGAACAGAAGAGCCCTGTTTTGTCTTAGTAACTGTCACATGGTAACATTAATAACATTTAGAGCTGGTCACTGCATAAACATGTTGACTATCTTGATTTACAGAATTATGTTCTCCGAGCACTTCTATGCACACTTCAAAACAAGAGCACATTTTAAAACTACTTCAGAAGAAAACTGAAACCATTTCACATATATGATACCAATATTTTGTTTAATCTTTTGTATAGGATATGTAATTTTCCTTCATTCTGTACTGTCTTTGTGAACACAAGCTTTTGAGAACCCATGAAAAACACACAGTCAATACACTCAATACTCTACATGAAACCCAGCTTTCTCTTTTAAGTGACTGCATTTACAGACCTTGTCACAACAAGGTCCCTGATGTTATCGAAGCAATTTCAAGATACTTTAATCATTGGCAAAACTCAGTGACTTGACAAGAGAAATTTGGGCCAGAAGACTTCAATGGTTTGAAAGGAAGGTTATTGAGTGATGTAATTTCGTTTGGATGGGACAGATTCCAATTGATCTGTTTTTGCAATGCATATCTTGCCTCTGCAGCTGTCTCTATCTGATTCAGTGCTTAAACTGCAAGGAGTGACTATTCCTTTCCACTTAAAGCAAAACTCTTCCTTCCTCCTGCTATTATTTTGAATGAGCATGAGGAGCCCATTTTTGAGTTTAATCTCTGTACTCACTGCAAAAAAAAATACATTCAACTGAATGCCAATCCATGGATTCAACTGAGTCTTGTGACAGCGTATGTATTATGTAAGTAGAAAAACAGATCATAGAGCATTAAGTTTATTATTGAGGTAGGGTTTGTATAACACAAGGGTATATGGCAGTACAAAATAAGTCTCAATCCCAACTGCACAACATCATGTTATCTACACTGTATTAGATTGTATTTTCAGTTGAGTATTTACGTTCAAAAGAAAAAAAACCCTGCTTGGTATGCACTAAGCATAATAATTAATAAATGGTTACCTTATAAATTAAATCAAGTATGGTTTTCCAGTTTCAACATTAGGAACCTTAATAATTTAATTTTAAACTGCATAAAACCTAGGCGGGAAAAAGCCTCCATATATAGGGAGTTACAAAGCTTTGAGAGGAGTATTGATGAATAACGTAATCATCATTAATGTAATCATCATATGCTAATGAAACTGAATCAGGATGTGGCACTAAATATTGCCAGCAATATGTAGCTAATAGGTCAGCTAAGTTGCCCTTTATTCACCCAGCTTTAGTCTTATGCTGTCTGTGCACACAAAACATGCTTGACTAACAAAACATGCAACTTGCTAGATTAGACATAAATGTGAACTTTCCTCTGATGATTTAATGAGGAATGAAAATGGAGTTAAAGATCAGCTGCCAGTCCTTCACTGCCTTTCCAACTCCTTGTATCACAGAAGATGATAGTTCTGCTGAATTTCACTTTTTATGTCTGATCTATATACTTCCAGAATTCAAGAACTTTCGGGTGTCTGTAGCAGCAGCAACAT